ATAGACTACAATACTGATTGTTTGGCTGAAGAAGAAACCTCCTTTACTTAAATAATAACAGTAATGGGGAGGTTACTTCGAACCACACACATTACTAACATGTGTAAAAGCCAATTTATTAGGCTACTTTCACCACAGCAAAAGTAAATAGTAACAGACATCATTACTCCCCACAGCCACCTATCCACGTCTTCCATGTTCATAACCACGTGTCAGGAATGCAAACTCTCCCCAGAAGCCTGCAGATATCCTCCAAACTCTGAAACAAAACCAGGATTCCTGAATTATAGCTCCCACGTGGAAGCATATCAGCAACCCAAACAGAGAAAAGTGGCAACACAACAAGTATGACTTGAGTTAGCATGAGAGATTTCTCTGCTTTATGGTAGAGGCTAGCAACATTCCCCACCAGCTCACAGCCCCCTAGCTGCCAAGATATACGCCTCTCCAAATGGACTGTGAGCTTGTTGTTACACACCTTACGTAAGTCTCCAATTAACTTGTGAACTCAGAGCATTCAGAAAATCCTCCACCTCGAAACCGACCCTATCCCTCCCTCATTCTGTTCCTCCCTTAACATGCTTAACCTACTCAGGATCATATTTTCAGCGCTCCATGACATTCCATACCACGTTATGCAGATGATACACAGATCTACTTTTCTGCAATAACCCAATAACCTGAATCAATCTGTCCTCTCTCCATGAGTGCTTAGACTTCCATCAAGCTAGACTGTCTCTTAAATTTCTCACCTAAAACTCCTGACAAAAACTGAAATACATTTTAGTTTGGCCCTATAAAAATATCTATCTATCTATCTATCTATCTCTATCCAACTTTAAGATGTGATAATGTAAATTAATGTTCAAATGTTTTCCGTGCCTAAATTAAAAAAGCAGCCTGAGAAAGTATTTAAACATGTCATAACCTTATCTGTGCATTGAAGAGGATTATTTTTATTCATCTGCATATTGCTGGATTTTATTCCTGGTTGTTGGTTTTCAACTAATCCAACAGTTGTTGTAGTCTGTTTTAGTTTTGTGTCAGTGGTATTCGTCTATATTTAATCACAAACCTTTTTCAAAATAAGAGTAATGTTAATAGAGTATAAATTAATTAGCAGTGTACACTACAAGAGAACACAGCATATAAAACCATTGGGACTGGACAGTGGGGAAATTATGCAAAGGATACTGCAGCCTACAGTTCTATAGACATTTTGTCAGAGGTCAGGCTCAACTGCAGAACAGTAGTCCTGGAGCGGGTAAAGATTCAGTTTTCTGCTAAAGGACTAAGAAAGAGCCTTCATTTTGAACCTGATCTGTTACACTTCTGCACTTCCTCTCTGTTCATTAAAGAATCAGTAATAAAATTAAATGTGGCAGTGTGCATGATAAGGGCTCGTCATGTTAGGTTTATTTATAGAGCATTTTTATCAAGCTTTGTCACAGAGTGCTGTACAGGAAACAACAAATAACACACAGCTCTTTTGCATGGCTGGCTGTAAAAGCAGCAAACAATACACCTTATTACAACATGTAGAAGAATACCATTTGGATACATTCTAGTGATATTTCAGGGCTAATAAACTCTGATGGAGTGCAAATACGTAATAAACTATGGTGTACTGCAAATTCAAGTTTTATAACGTTGCATATGCAAAGGCTTTTATTAGTGGGTCATTGGCTCAATCACCATTGTGTTACCCCGGCGATAGTGACTTAAAAGACGAATGTAAATCTTCAAGATTATTATTTGAACTCTGTTTGTAAGGTTTTTGTTTGTTTTATTTATGTTTAAGCTTTACATGTTCTCACAATAGCCCGACAGTGCTCAAAAGTGCATTCAAAACTGGTTGTTAATCTACAGTTTCACTGCAGAGCCACAGCTGCTGCAAGACGGAAGTGAAAACATGATTATCACTCGAGTGTTTCACACCTGGGACTAGACAAGCTTCATGTCAGACCTTTATTTATTTTTTAATTGGTTATAAAACAGGACCTACATAAACAAACATAACCTTCAGTAAGAAGATCGGCTAAATATATGCAGTTATTCTTAATGCCTGCCTACGGATCGAGTTCCCCATTGAAACTGTGGTGGAAACACTGCCGCTTCTGTCCACAGCGTCCGCCGGAATTAACACAAAATGAAAGTTCCTTGTAGCTGCCTTGAGTATGTAGACTATCATTAAAGTGAACTTGTCATGCTTCACTTTCTATAAACTACACAGAACATGGCTGGACAAAAGTTGGATGACTTTAGTGATTTGCATTAATTTACACCTGGAACCTGTCCACTACTGAAGAACTAAACAGTTAAAACATAGCCTATGAAAAGCACACAAAGAATACAAAAGTAAAGCCGAGACTTGGATTAGCTGCAGTACTTTTAGTTACTACTAGTACTACTTTTTATCAATGGTTTGTCCTTTAAAAGGCCCGAAATGGTAGGTGCTTGATTCTCAAAAGACAGATTTTGTGTGTAATATTATTTAAAGTTTCACAAAATTGTAA